AAAACTATGATGTCATTTTTTTAGAATACTTCAAAGAGGACTATTTTTTGTAAAAATGTTGTGAGCTTTTGTTGCTTTACGTGATAGAGCCATATATTACAATATGGTTGCAGTACAAATGGGTTAGCTTGACCGCGAAATGACATTGATATTACAATATCGGCGATAAATAGCAGCTCAATGCTTGTGTTTCCGTTCAGTGGTGAGGGTAGAGAACCGAAGTCACTTTTTCATTCAAACGATGCATTTTATCTAAGCCTTCAGAGGTAGCAACGCATGTGCTATTTGATTCTTAATTGAAGATAAATGTTGATGTCAGGCTTGTTGATGTATGCTCAATTACCATCCTTATTCTATAAAAAAACTCTTCTTAATGGTGTTTTGTAATTTGTCTGCATAATTTGTTCTAATAAGAAAATAAGTTTTATTATATAATATCCAAAAGTGCCGACGTTGCTGCATTAACCTGTATGACTTTAAGCGAATATCTTTTGTTGATTTTAAGTATACGGTACGCAAACCACGTCAACGCAGTCGCAAGCTTTACAACTTACTTAACGTGAGACTTGTTGCCGATAAAACCATCACCACCATGGGACAGATGGTCACCCTCCCGGGGAATTACCGGGTAATTCCCCGCTCTTCGAACCTCAGATAATCCAATAATTTCTCAGAGCAATTTGTCTATCTCTTCTCACAGCTTTAGGATCTTCTTGTCAGTTCTCAAGGTGGGTGTCTTACACAAATTACCCCCTAATAGACCTCATCATGGAATATTTGTTCTGTTTCTATTTCACCGAATTACGCGACACACATGAGTTGCGGCAGACGTGTCAACTGCGCTGTGATTGGATAATTCAAGGTTGAACTTAGAATGCTCCGAACCATACTGATGGGACAGGGTTGGGGCGTTGATCGATAAACTTGGGATTTTTTAATTATTGATAAATTAATAAATTGATCAATTTTTATTTGAAATTAATTAAAAATAAAACAATGTATATAAATAAAACAATATATATATATATATATATATATATATATATATATATATATATTTTTTTTTATATATGTATATTTAATCTAATGATTTCTTAAATTTACGCGAACACTACACATTGAATAAAACTATATATTATATACTAATTTTATCGCATTTAATTAACTTATGGTCACGAGGGGGGGGGGTACTGAGATGTTTGACGTCTCAATGTCATAGTTAACCCGGCTACCTTCAGTTTTTGAATATTGGTTTTTGGATATACATGGTCGAGATGATCTAGATACAACGAGCTCACAATATCGTAAAGTCTTGCAGTGGTATGCTTGGGTTTGGGTAGATTTTGCAGATGGCGGGTGGTAACACCCATCCATAGACTGTGGCCGGCTTCACTCGGTCGCTGTGACGCAGCGTGGGATCCAAAGCGTGCTTGCTTGACGTGCTGAAGCTCAGTTGCCAGATGTTTTCTGTCACAGATCCCTTGTGCTCTCTGAAACAAAAATGTACCCACGGAAGCTAACTATAAAGGATGATGGTGAGATACACCACTTAAATATCGGTTGGTATTTGTCTTTTTCCTATAAACATTGTGACCAATAGTTTTATCAGGATTTCGGATGACTAAAACATCTAGAAAAGCTAAAGAATTATTTCCCTCTAACTCCATTTTGAGTTGTATTTTAGAGTTTATGGAGTTAAGGTGGTCTAAAACTACAGTTGCTTTGTCAGATGGTAAAATTGTGAAAGTTTCATCTACGTACCGCTTGTAGAATCTTGGATTTAGAGGAGCAGTAAGAAGGGCTTTCTCCTCAAAGTCCTCCATGAATATGTCAGCGACTATAGGAGATACAGGTGAGCCCATCGCCACACCATCATCTTGCTTGTAGAACTCTTGTGTACTAGACTATTGTGGAAGGACTATAAATATCCAGATGCTTAGCATTGTTTGAGTAATACTGCATATTCTGCAGGCATGTTGTTATCTTCTAGCTTCCTAGTTACAATTGAGATGCAGTCTTCAATTCAACAACAACAATTCAGTCACTATTCACATGCCTACCTGCCTAGGTATGTGAATAGTGACTGAACACAAAACTGACCACAGTTTCATTGTCAACGAGATGTAGGTCTTTTATATTACTACGAGTAACAAAGTGGTGTGAATACTTTGTGTGTGCTCTGGTATGTCCTCTTGGTGGTGACAGTATTTTTGCCAAGTGCTGTACCTAAAAATAACATTATTAATTAATAAACCATACGGCATGTGTTTCAAATTTAGATGTATTTAATAATAATAATAAGATATTACTGAACTTCACGTAACACTAGAATAACAATAAACACATTATAACTTGCACTTGTTTTACGATTTATAAATTCGTTAAAAATAGTTTAATTTCGACGTGTAACATTCGCCTAAATATTGGAATATCTCGTTTTAATAAACCACTTAATGCTATTACTTATTATGTAATCTACATTGGTACTATACTTTAAAAAAATGTAAAAGTCCATACTAAAACTATAGCGGAATCCAACAGCCTTCTACGATTTTTATACATGAAGATTGTCTTCTGTGAAATGTCTTGAGCATAGCACTCTATTTTTGGTGGAAAACCATTGGTCTCCTCGACAAGTAGCGTCGATCCACATCTTTTTCCTTTCGGGGCATTTAGGAAACTTATAACATATAGGTACCACAATGATACACCACTATTTTTATAAAATAATGACTTTAAAAAATGTAAACGATGACCAAACAAATATCTACTTATAAATCACAACACTATCGATTCACGTGCTGTCGTTAGACAAAGACAACTACTGTAATTTATGTGATGAGTGAAAGGGACATTCCAAAAAGACATCAACGGGTGCTTAATTGTTATCACTTTGCACCATTATATTACCAGTATAAGTTGAACTTCGGTGCATCTGAAATAGGTTAAGGTGATAAGAATAGAATTTACTTACCGATGAAATTTTATGCCATCATTTTGATAACTGGATGTCTTAGCTGACTTGCCACACTATTTTACTGCACAGAAAGCTATTTGTAATGTATTTCGGATACAAAACTGTTTTTAAATTGTCAAGAACACGGACGTGCCTAATGGTTACTAACTTGGTCATCACTGATATCGTGATTCTTAGTGTTACTTCGTATGCTAGTTTCAGCAAACATGTGTTGCGCGCGTTTGTGGCCCTGCATACGAAATCTATTAGGGGGTTATCTGTTGTGTGTTATACGTTGCCAGGTCGAGTCGTCTGAGGTGGCTAGATGTTTAAAGATGACATGTTTGTCGAAACATGTATGTATTTTAGATAGTGGAACCCCAAAGGACTTAGTTGGAATACCTCATTTGCAGTGAAAAGGGTATCCGGTTCTCTACACCTGGATTAAAAAAATATTGGTCCCAAGTTGATCAAATTTATATGGCCACATGATAAGCATCAGTTTTCAATATAAAAAATAATCGGTTCATCTAGGAAAAATGTCCGAGGTAACATACAAAAAACATACAATCGAATTTAGTACCTCTTCCTTTTTTCCAAGTCGATTAATAAAGGTGTTATGAACAATGGACAAGTTTTGCAAAATCCGGATAATAGTGTAGTGGATGTTTTTACATGACTAAGCAAAAGAGAGGGATAGGCAGAATGATAATAGCCTGGATGGTAAAAGTACTGTGACACATGAAGGTGTTGGATCTGCCTTTTGACGTCCATTGTTAAAGAAGAAACGATTGCCAAAGTCTACCACGCGTAAGAGGAAGAGAAGGAGCAGTCTTCTTTACAGAAAAACACGTAACAAGCAATCCACCTAATGTTAAGTGATGCTGTGACAAGAAAAATATACAGATGCCTTATCACCTCCGAGTAAGATGATAGATCCGTTGCCAATTAAAAGAGATCTCTGGTTCTCTTTACTAACCATACGAATTATAAAAGCATGCTGCTAATTTACGCTAGTATTCTTAGAGAGCGTCGTTCTTTGGAGCTCAAGCCCACCCAGCCCAGATGCAGCTGTACATTACTCTGCATTTGGCGCTCTTAAGGCCAATAGTTCACAGACAATATTAATTTTAAAGTTGCCAGTGATGACACATGGATCTGAAATTTTTCATCACGGGGTTCATCGTGGTCATTCACTGCTGGCCGTATGAGGAAGCTTAAGGTCGCTCCGTAAACTATACTGAGGGCGAGGGTGAGGGTGTATGATTTCGTAATAATAATGCGCAGTCGAATCATAGTAACCGTTAAAGGACTACGGATCACTTTGTTAAAAGAGAATAATAATAATTAGAATTAATATTCTCTGTATATTAAGTATTTTCGAAATGTATGTATTTTTCTAAGAAAAAATGTTTTGAAGACATGTGAAGTTCGCCAACACGCACTGGGGCAGCGCGGCGGACTCTTCCTTGCCCTAAAACCCTCTCAGAAATGAGAGGAGGCCTGTGCCCAGCAGTGGGACGTATTAAGGCTGTAACTTTAATTTTTTATGTATTTTCTTGGGTACCGATTACAGTTGGCTGTGGTAGTCACTTACCTTCAGGTGAACTGCATTAAAAGTTGTTGCGATATTATTATCAGGTTTGATCGTGTGACTTTTCGGTGTGATAAACTACATTTAAGGTTACCTCTTTACGATCTAAGAATTCGTTTACTAGAATAAAAAAAAAACATTTTGTCATGCACCTTGAGTGGTAGTTAAAATCTTTAAAATTAAACTCTGTCTCACGCTATAGACTATTACAATTATCATGAAAGTCAATGGGATGATTATTTAAAAAATCTAAAATTACTTTTAGTTATTTATTAACCAGAATCTTTGATGATGATGACGAAAAATATTTTAACAAATTTTTTATAGATTTTATCCTGTTTATTGATATAATAAAATGCTCAAAATAATTTCTATCGAAATATTATGTTTAAGTAACTAATTCACGTTTTTGTGTGTTCTCTGTACGAACAAAGCTAACGCTATTCTATTCTATTGTATTCTACATCGCATTTTGAACCAGTGTCCGCCTTGCATGGTAACATTGAAAGTACTTGTGGAGAGTTTCGCTGGTATGCAGGTCTTCTCGCACGGAGACAACTCCATGTGTAAGAGAAGCTGGTACAGCATTACCTTCACCTCGCATAACGCAAACCTGGAACCTGTTGAAAACAATACACTTCTATCACTAGCAATAAAAAGTCAGCATGAGAAGTTTAAGCTGAATAGTTGTTAATTAATTATTGCTAAAACCAATTTTATAAATACAGTTTACTGCCATCTTACATCAAAGCAACGTTAAAATAACGAAATTAATGATAATTGGGTCAAATATTGTTAAAATCTTTTTTTTATAGGATAGGATGACAAACGACCTCACAGTCCACCTGATGGTAAGTTGCTTTGGCCCATAGACATCTACATCTATCCTCGATTACGAATCAAAATGCAGATGCGTTGTTATCCGTAAAAAAAAATTATTATAATTTGAAGCACAGAAAGCCAGCAACAAATATAAACAAAATTTGGCTGGACCTGACAACCGGCAGCTAACTTTCAGTGTCCAAGCTACCGTAACACGTGGTATATAAAAAGGTAAGATAGCGCAAGCAAGTAATGGGTTGCAAACTGATTTTGATGACATTTATTTCTAGAGTGTTGCTAATAAAATGTTATTTAACCCTGAAAAGTGATACGTCAAGTATTTAAGGTTATTAACGCAAGTATATAGCTATTTAGTACACGTACATAATTAATTTATTGTGTGGTTGCTGTGTAAGAAGATCTACTCCCCTATATAATCCTGTTGGTGTCGTAAGAGACAGAAGAGAGAAAACAAACCAGGAGATAGAGAGTATTGTGACTGTGACATTTTTTGGGAAATGTGGTCTAAAACTTTATTAATGTCGCTGTTTGTCGAATCTATGAAAAAAAAATGTTAAACCCATCCATCTATCACGGTTTTTCCATCGTCAGTTATGGTATCTCTTTCTCTATTAATTCGTCTATCAGTTATATTTGTTTTTTTGATTTTCCATACAGCTTTACCTTTATTACTTGAGCCTAAGTTATATTTTCATTATATTTTTTTTGTGCATTTAATATACATTTCCTAAGAAGTTTAGTGTAACTAATATACCTATATTTACTTTAACTTTTTTTTTTGTTGCTGAAAACAAATATTTACAATATAGCTTTCTTTTTACCACGCAAAATTTTTATTCCTCTTGTGCGCCAATAACGATTATTATTTCTTAAGGAAATCTAAAATAAATTTGGTCAGAAAACAGGTCGAACAATAGTTTTTATATATTATGAAAACTTAAAAACGCTTACTTTTTTTGTCAGTACAGATTTCAGAAAAAAGATATTGCTTTTGTATATTCCAAGAACTTTTCTATGTTCTCTTTAGCAAAGTCTCTTTTTTCTTCTAACCAGTATTTTACTATTATACTACTTTTATAAAATGCTCCAGCCCCTATTGTCAGATAGGCCCAAATAATGTATAGAGCCTTTTGTTTGACAAACATTGCTTATGAAGTGATCAATACAATCGATACTTGAATTAACTCTGGTTGGAGGAGTTACGTGCTGTGTTAAGTTAAAATTTTGTAATAGGTCTTTTAGCTTTGTAGATTATTTACTATCCTTCATAGTGTTTTTAATTAAATCTCCTGCAATGATTATTCGTTTACTATTTCATCTTGATAATTTTAGTAATAATTTATTAAATTATTCGAAAAATATAATACAAGTCTGAATTACGTGTTCGATATATGCATAAAATTATAAAATTAAAGTTACCGATTTAAACACCCCAACATTCAAAATGTTGTGCCTTTTCATTTTCTTTCGTAAACATTAAGTCTTTGTAAGATATATTTTCTCTTATAACTATACTTACTCCGTCACGTCTTTCTCTTAATCTTGAGTAGAATGACGCTAGCTGAAAACCTTGCAGCTTAAGGTTAGATACTTCACCACGTTTAATAAAGATCTCAGTAAAGAAAATGATTTAAATATATGTATTTGTCACTATTAGTTAGTTCATTTAGAATTTTTACAAAATCTTGTTTGCTTAAAACTCCAGCAGTATTTTGAAGTAAAATAATGTATTGTTGATGTGTAATATTTCATAAGTAACCTATGCAGGGGTTTCTATAGCATTATTTATATCTGTGTTAAAAATCTCTTAAGGTCCTCATGTTGATTTAGAATTCATCATTTTCTGTTTTTTTTTTCAAAGAAATAATATATAGTACGCTTCTCATAATTAATAACTTCATGAAGTGGATGAAGTATGATTTTTCATAAGTTGTTTTTTGAATTAATAAGGTAGGACGTTTTATGAGCTTTTAGCCACATCCTCAGATGTGAGATATCCCTTAAGACGAAGTCTTAGCACGATTTCAAATTCTTTTTTCACCCGCGCGTCCCGCAGTGGGCGGAGCGAAACCGGCAGTCAGAGAGCGCAGCGTGAACACAGTACCTATGCTATGCGCAAAGTAAGTAGACATTCACCTCCAAACAAAAACTTTTGCGTGAGGTCTCCTGTTCGCAACACTACTAGGTATTATAGTAATAATATTTTGAGTACCTACTCACTAATACCAAAATTGTTTACGAGGTCTGGAGTCTGGACATCATACTATATTTTAATTATCAATATTTTTTTAAGGTCAGTTTTATGATATGAGCAGGTACCAAGTCAAGTATTATTTACATACATATACATTTAAAACGCCAACTCACAAATTCTAAAATAGCGATTACGAAAGTACACCTTCAGGTCACTTCGTCAAGTACGGAGGTAAAAACTCATCATACCTAAAAAGCAAGCCCAAACTAGGCACACCTAGTAGTAAAGTTCATATTATAAATGGGCTTTCTCAAAATGAGCCCAAACTCGGCACACCTAGTAGTACTCGGCGACCAGTTCCAATAGCGATTATTAAAGTACACCTTCAGGTCACTCCGTCAAGTCCGGAGGTAAAAACTCATCATACCTAACAAAACGAGCCCGAACTCGGCACACCTAGTAGTACTCGGCGACCAGTTCCAATAGCGATTACCAAAGTACACCTTCAGGTCACTCCGTCAAGTCCGGAGGTAAGGACTCATCTTACCTAATAAAAGGAGCCCAAACTCGGCACACCTAGTAGTACTCGGCGACCAGTTCCAATAGTGATTACCAAAGTACACCTTCAGGTCACTCGGTCAAGTCAGGAGGTAAGCACTCATCACACCTAACAAAACAAGCCCAAACTAGGCACACCTAGTAGTACTTGGCGACCAGTTCCAATAGCGATTACTAAAGTACACCTTCAGGTCATTCCGTCAAGTCCGGAGGTAAGAATTCATCATACCTAACAAAACGAGCCCAAACCCAGCACACCTAGTTCTACTAGTCCAGGTGTTCCAGTATTAGTTACTGAAGTTCACCTTCAGGTCACTCCATCAAGTCCGGAGTTAGGGTCTTATCATAACTGACAAAACCAACCCAAAGTCCACAGCTAACATCTCACTGCCAGTAGAGGACTCCCAGTGCCAAGCAGTCTCTAGAGTAAGGTATTCGTATTTCGTATCTAAGTCTAATTACTCTATGTATCTAAGTATATTTTTGAGGTATAAAAAATCAAAAACAAATTCGATCTTTCAAATTATCAAAATAATTTTATTTCACTACGATTCCCGCAGCCAACCGTGCGTACACTTGCGTGTGTGCCCATGTCAATGAGATAGTTCGATTCTATACCTATATCAATTTTGTAAACGCGTCTTTAAAAAAATCTTAACGTAAATACGGCGGGAAAAAGAGCGACACGTCTCTACAGCACCAGGTAGGCATGTCGATTTAAAATCGATTAATCGAAAAATCGATTCTTTGGAGTAAAAGTATCGATTTTTTAGATCGATTCGAAGCACCGCATCGATTCACTGAATCGATCTAAAAACCTCTTGAATCGGACCGATTCATTTGATACAAGAACTAGCTAAAATTCCCAAACTGGGTGGGGTAAGATACCACAGTTTTTTAATTTTTGCTGTTGGGGGGCGCAAAAACAACCGGTCGTACTTGGTTGATAATTTGAACGCAATATATATTTGAATAAAATAAATGTTTATTAACGCATCCAACAATATCGAAAAGTTGTCATTTATTTTCATTTCTAAAATTCTTAAGCCCACTTTCCACTAAGGGATATAATGTAATTGATATTACATCTCGAGATATAAATTAATAGCGCTCACCGTACTTTTAAATGGAACCGTTGCCACTGAGATGTAATATATATTACATCTCAAACTATAAATATTTTTTCGATCGACCGAGCGATATTTTCATATTATATTTCACCTCCTGTACTATAATATAATATTATATTATAGCTGTGAACCTGTTTGAACTGTGAACTTGTGAATTTACATTATTTATTATCAAAAATATACATACTGTGAGCTGTAAATACAGACAGAGTAATTTATCTACCTAATGTAAATAAATACTTACCTAGATACTGTAAATAAATATTATACCGTACGTTGAAGTTTATAGAGGTTTATAGTAAGGAAATAACCAGTATTGTGTTCGTGTAGCATTCATTTCGATATGATAAATAGTGAGTTATTAGATTGAAACAGATTTATCGAGAAATGTACGTTGCAGTTTTCACTTCTGTTAAAGTATTGTTGTTGTTTTTAGCCTAAAATATCAAATAAAAGTGTTACGTGGAATCACTTTGTAAAAAAAGGGATCGAGTGGAGTATGTGCGAACCACTCCTAACACAAGCGTTTCAAGCTTACCAAGAGTGGTTAAAAGGAATATTAGTAATGTTAATCAATAAGATTACTAATATTATATTTAAAAAATAAATAAAAAACAGTTTAGAAGTTAAGGAAAAAAAAATCGAAAATTCTTGAAATTTCATGTTTGAAAAAGTCGCGATTAATCGAAAATCGATCTTTTAATCCTCGATTTAATCGATAATCGATTCAAGTACCTTCGATTCAAATCGATTCACAGATCGATTTTTTTAAGAGTGAATCGACATGCCTAGCACCAGGCCTCGGCCGGCAGTGACTCTGCAGAGGCGTTTACTCAAACATCTTTACTTATTATTTCAGAAATAAGAATATGCGATTTAAATAAAAACTATTAGTTGGACTAAAAAATTAAAACACTATAACGTTAATATGTTGAATGTATAAAAATCTGACATAAAATCAGAATGATTGCATGTATATTAGTATGGTTTTTACTTGTTAAAAGAAATTTTTAGAGGTATGTTTGTGATTTTTTTCTATCGCATTAATTTAGTGGTATCATGTTTTCAACACATTATTTAACTAGCATATATCCGGGAGAATATCATATATTTTTCTAGGTTTGTTTACTGCAGTGGATCATATACTTTGAGGCAATATAAAACTTGCGTTTAGGGTCATGCCTCGTCTTAAGATAAAATCATCAAAAAAAAAAAAGAAGAAAACTACACTCACCTATACAATTCCTAGGGCCAAGACCAAATGGAACATAGGTAAGTGGTTTGATAAGATGTTTGTTCTCTTCAGAGAATCGCTCTGGATCGAATTTCTCCGGGTCTGGATAGTATTTTGAATCGCGATGGATTGCCCAGACGGGAATCGTAGCTGATTCGCCTTTACGAACCTGAAGATAATTCGTAAAAAGCCAATTCGTTAATAGATCATTTAAAAGAATACAAGCGGTAATTATCAGTTCGATAACGTATTTAGTGGAATTTTTTAATGATGTTAAAATCAGTAATATATATATATATATATATATATATATATATATATATATATAGTAATAAAACATTCTGTCCTTTATCTTATCTTATAAATTCATAATTCGTGGTGCATTATTTTAACTGATTTTCGTTTACAAATATCTCACACACACACAAGAGTCGCTAGGTCCGCAAAAACGTTGTGAATTGAGTTGCACACAGAGAGCGCGCGTTTGTATATTTGTTACCCATATATATACTACTCGTCGAAGAGCCGTGGTAGCTCAGATGGTTAACGCTCGCTGTAAATATAACAGAACGCGAGTAATCCGGGTTTGATCCCCGCCGGCACCAATGAAATTGTTAATTGCAATTTTAAGTACTGATTTACCACGTGCTCGGCGGTGAAGGAAAACATCGTGAGGATACCTGCATGTCTGAGGAATAAGAAAAAAAAATTATTTGTAAACTTGTAAAGTTCGCCAACACGCATTGGGGCAGCGCGGCGGATACTTCCTTGCCCTAAAACCCTCACAGAAATGAGGGGGAGGCGTGTGCCCAGGAGCGGGCCGTATATAGGCTGTAACTTTTATACCACTCGTGCGGTTAAAGAATGGGACTGAAAATGGCGCGCCTCTATTTACCTCTTGCTCGCACAATGTCGCTAGTCGCTATATATACTCACACCCACCGGTAGAGACAACAAAAAAATATATGTTGCAATATACGTTTTTCATGCGTACTAAAACTTTAGTCCGACTTGTCATGGCATAAACGGTAACCAAATACCGTAAACTAAAAAAAAATATCCCAGTTTTGCAATTTTGTTGACGCGTTCTTAGAGTTTTTTTTTTACATAAATATTGTTGATTTTGGAAATACTTTTGTAAAGACGCTGTTATTGCTTTTGGTTATTATTTATCGTAGAGCGTTGTTAGTTATTTCGTTTTGTTGAATATTTCGTTATGTGGTATTTTTCTTTTATTATTTTATCAATATTCTGTTAATAATCGAGTATAAACGAGGGAAAGTACTACATAGTGCTACACGTAGATTGTGTATAACGTATTAAAGTATTTTGAGATAGAGAAAAGTCTGTGGTAAATTAAAAAAGTGACTTTCAATAAGTATTGTTATAATCTACATTGAATAAAAAAAGTTTCTGTTTCTGTTTATGGAACGTTAGCACCCATTGCAATATAGTAATGCAAGGGCGGGTATGGTAACAGGGTTGTCATTCGAATTAAAAAAGATGGTGGGTACCAAATTTATGTAGTATCTACTGTACCATTAAATAATGTATAAAAATATTCAACTCGCTATTCAACATTTGATTTTTCAAGCGTTGTCCATTCTTAGGGTTCCGCACCCAAAGTGTGCCTCATATTGTACCGTTACACCCTATTGAAGTCCACTACTGAATAACCCTCTCTTATAGATTGCCTCACATGGGGGATTTTGCCATTATTGCCACGCTTCGCAAGCAGGTTGGTAACCATAGTTTTATTATTTTAAGTCGTTAAAAGGAAGATGCTGCTTCCCATCTCCAAATTTGTTTCACTCAGTCTCCTCTTACGACACCTACGTGGTGATATGGAGTAGTAGATATTCTTACACCGCCAATACCCGGAGGAGTGTCCAACGGCACCCTATTACTGAGTCTATCTGTCTTTTTGTCGCTGGGCTGTTTCTTTTTAATTATTAGTTATATATTATATACTATAATTGTGAAACGCAAGTAATCAAACGAATAAAAAGTTAAAGCCCAAGGGGGTCTTTATATAAGAAATCTTGAAAAAAAATCCAAGGATTTTTTGTTCTTCTTCTTCTCGTATCTTAAAATTGTAATATCATTATTGAATATATATATTTTCTTCTAACTAACACCATAATAATACTACATACTCTATATAACCAGTAACAGTGATAGACTTGGTGGCACGGAACCCAAGGAGACGGACTATTGTGCATGCAGGTTCAGAAAATGGATTTTAGAAGGGTGCTGAGTTGATTTTCAGGATCAAAACCAAAAAAGGCGATTACTATGATGAAATGAATTGGCAAAATTTCACTAAATATATTGAGGAAAAATTAACGGACGACGATGAAAATGACATTGAAGAGTTATTAATCAATATTAGGCTGAACAGCGATTGAGAAAGCGATAGCTGCTCCGATTCAGATCAAGAAGATAACGATGGGTTATCCGGAATCAAAGTGATCTCAGACGATTCTGGTGAAGGTTCATGTACCAGGATGAATTTTTCAAAGATTACTATACGTAAAAAATAAATGTATGCAGAGTTTTTGCCTGTCTGTTCTATTTGAAATATTTTATTAACTGTTTTTTAACTAATATAAACTTAATTTAAGAAATACATTATTTTATTTTATAGTCCTTCGTAAATAATTTACTAATCTATACATGTAAATAAATCAATTTTACCCAAGCGAAGCCAGTGCGGGTCATTGGTAATAAATGTTATTTTAAAATTAATGTGTCTACTTATGTATATAATCATATTTAAATATTTTACATTTAATATAAAAATTCCAATTAGCTGAATAATATTATTAACGTTTTCATTCACATAATAACGGTATACCGTTATTAGCGGATTTTAGTGTTGTGTATTGTGCATGTTGACGGTACGGGCTCCATTAGTCGCCATATATAATCCCATTCTTTATCCTTACGGGCTATATTTATTCATATTTACAACATAGCTGTTACTATGAAATCTTGCGTCGCTTGTTTGTTAGGTTTTCCTAAGTTATAGTCTTTGGTACATAGTCTATCTAATGCGACACCCGGAGGCCATAACCTAAGCACCTCTGAAAATTAAAAGAATCAATATTAAAATATTTTGCATTTCTATTTTCAAATTTAATTCCCTTATAATTTCTTATGACAATTAGCTTCACTATTCAAGTTATATGTTTGTTTATGTTACATAATAATGTACAATTTCTGTTACAACAAGAAACTGTACACTAAAATAATAGTACAAGACTGTACGATAACTTCAGTGTTTAGTTTGTAGCCGTTTACTGCCCCTGGTAGTTCCAAAATTCATGGTTTCCTCTATGTGGATCTATATGGCTGTAGTTAGCTATTGGGCGAGAATAGAATCAGCTCTCTTGTAGCCAGCGGTGTGTAATATACATATTATATTTACTTCAAAAACATCATTACGATTGATTTCGATCCGTTTTTATGTATACATACCCGGAACGTGACGACTTCAAGTCATTAAAAGTTGCCGATATAGAAAAAGTTATTTTACATGCACTTGTTTCAAATTGTTCTATGTTTTTTGGGTTTTTCTTCTTGTTTTTCCTCGTAGGGCCGCTTTTAAAAAAAATTTTATTTTGATGTTAGTTTCAAGTAAACAATGTCCTTGTAAGACATTGAAAGGAATTCTAAAGTATTATAAAACCAAATTATCTTAAAATAGAATATGGGTAATAAACGAGCACACAGTCCACCTGGTGGCAAGTGGATGCTGAAGTCTATAGACATCCACATTTATCTTTAATTGAAATTTAAAATGTGTGTTGTCACCATGCCCCTGAGGACTAAGATGGAATGCTTCCTTCTTAGTAAAACGGGTCTCCAGATGCACCATACGACCACCATAGGACCAATCACAGAATACAAGCATTAAATGGCAGCTTCATGCTAGTGGTATACTAGCATGAAGCTGCCATTTTATGCTTGTATTCTGTAATTGGTCCTACCCCGGTCAAGCCAACCCATATGTGTTACAACCATAATATAGCTACAGCGTGGCTCTACCACGTCAAACCGATTGTTCCGGAAAAGAAAATATTTCTTGAATACACGTCGGATCGCCTGCATTATATAAATATATAAATCCACCAAGGTTCGCTTGGATAGGATCTATTAATATCATTTTTGGATTAAAGATAGCCTAGACCCCTCCTAGCAATGCTTTCTATCTGATCTTGAAGTTTCATCGCAGAATAAATAATAGTTCAAGAACAGAAGGATCACACTCCGATAGCAAACTTGCGAGTTTAAATCTAGTTACAACGTCGATGTTCATAATACTTTGCATGCCTCGGAAGACACCTTCGTGAAATTATCCTATCGATTAAATCGTCAAAAATTAATGCAGCGCGCGTATTAAATCAAAATGTTATTTATATCCGCGTGCGAGTGTCTGTATTACTTAGCCCGATACGCGCCTTTATTAAGGCCGCTCTTTTTTATTGTACAATGGTGATAAACTAGCACACAGTCCACCTGATGGTAAGTGGTTGCTGTGGCCAATAGATATATACATCTTTCCTTGATTACGAATCAAAATGCTGATGCGTTGTCACCTGTGAGGACTTAGATGGAATGCCTCAATTCCAGTAAAATGGCTCTCTGGTTCTCTACACTCACCAAACGAAACACAACAGCGTTGAGCTGCTATTTCGCGCTGATATTCTGTAAGAGCGTGGTCCTTCCCCGGTCGAGCCGACCCTACAACTATACCACTAATATAACTGCAGGATGGCTCTACCACGTCAAAAACGTCTTAAAGGGTATTGAATCCTTAGTTAGTATGTATATTATATATATATATATATATATATATATATATATATATATATATATATATATATATATATATATATATATATATATATATATATAGGAACATTATTGTTCAATGTGAGGAAAGTATATATGCAACATCTAGAAAAATTGATATGTGTATAGATAAATAATATTATAATAATTAAATTAATTGAAATAACTGGCTTCCAACGAATAAATGTAAAACAGAAAATGGTAAGTTAGTAAATTATCTGAGTTTCGAAGACGTTCACGTTATATATATATATATATATATATATATATATATATATATATATATATATATATATAGGAACATTATTGTTCAATGTGAGGAAAGTAAATATGCAACATCTAGAAAAATTAGGATTATAATAACGTGAACGTCTTCGAAACTCAGATAATTTACTAACTTACCATTTTCTGTTTTACATTTATTCATTGGAAGCCAGTTATTTCAATTCATTTAATTATTATAATATTATTGATATGTGTATAGATAAATAATATAAAAATCACTCGATAGCAACTTGATGATAGAGTGCAGACCGCGAACTACTGTCGTGAACCATTTCTAACACAATCATTTTACGCTTACCTGGAGTAGCCGACAGGAATATTAGTAATTTTAAAAGCATTGCTAGTATTAAAAAAATGTGAAAACAGGCGTAAGTTAAAATTGAACAAACCTGACACAACCATGTCCAAATACTTCAGATTCTGTATGGAATTGTAATCTAAATTTCCACGGTTCTTTCCGTTGTGTTTCTTGATTTCTTCGTATAGACGCTGCTGGACTTCAGGGTGTGTTGCTATTTCATGAAGCGCAAACGACATAGCAGAGGAAACACTATCGAAACCAGCAATGAAGAACAACACTGCTTGAGCCACTATGTCGATATCAGTCCACACTAAAATATTCATTCAAAATTAATTAGACTATACTATTGTATAATATATTTCTAGGTTTTTGTGGCACTATTATTCCAACTCGAAATGTATTTCTGTTTATCTCATTTAAATATGAATTTGTATTGGCTCACTATACGGAAAGGAAGGTATTTTGGAATACTGCAGTCAATTTGGTATAGTGGGTGTTTTACTGAAACTAGTAGTGCCATCTCGTTTCAATGGCCTTTAAACATGAAAGATGCCACTTGTCGATATGTTTACACGATTAATCCGCCAATCCCAGTAGTTTGTGTATTTATAAATGAATGACCCGAAGTTATATCCGACCACGTCTTTTTGCTAATTTAGAATATGATGTGAAATATTGAAATTAGCTTTTCTATATACGCACATGGGTCTCTTCACAATTAGTCATAATTATATTTTTAAAAATATTGTTATAATAATAAGTGAAAACACATATTATAAAAAATAAAGAGTCAGATTTCTCTTTTTTTCAAACAGTGCGCACATTAGTTGCCGTTGTAATTATTATGTCCATGTTTTTAGCTTTGGCGCAGTGACTTAGCAATGAGCTGTTGCGTTGAGGGCTGCGTGTTCGAATCTCGCACGGAACAAGTATTTGTAAAGTCTAAAAAAAATTGTATTTTCATTCCAATACCGGGTTTGGATGTTTATCCTTGTACAACTCGTGGTTGTAAACTGCCTGAAATGCCCTAAAAACCTTTAAATGATAAATTAAAATCAACCTTTGCCTCAGAGATGACAATACTAACCACGATCTACATTCTTCTTTCCCACAGAAGATTCTTCGACAGTTGCGAATCCAGCATCCGTGTCAGCACCTTTGTCTTCATGAGTTAATCGACCTTGAAATTTAATAGAATAGAATAATTTTTATTTAATATACCTGTACACACTGGAAAGTAAGGGGGATCACGTCGCGGACGACCAAGAAAGTAGTGGCGATGCTATCTCGATACTTCCGATAAGGAGGAAGTAGGAAAGGATTAAGAATTAGCAAAACATCAATCAAGACAGAAAAACGTGTAACTTGGATATTTGCTTAAATTATTTTTCTTATTTTTTAATGGTTAATTGAATTAAAACTTAAGATTTATAAAATATTGGGGGATGTCGCCCGCGTCCGTAGGCTTCGACCTCCTAATCCTAGGCCCACCATATACGTGTCTCCCGGCTGGTGCTAAGTGCAAGTCGAAAATGCAGATTCGGCTCTTCGCCGTGTGGTAGCGGCGTTAAATATACCACACCAAAGTTTCGCACCATAACGCATCAAGGAAAATAAATGGTCACGAGTACCCGGCCCCCCTTTAATGGGGCAGGGGTGCGAAGAATCTTTGGGAGGAAAACCGGCGACCAGGTTCGCCATCCATCACGTTCGATCTCCCGGAGGGGCGAAAAGTGGATTGCAAAAATCCGTCTGGCTACGTTGATTGTATGTGGATCAATTAATCATAAGATGGATGAAGTATGCGATATGATGTATGATAGAGGAATAGATGTGTTATGTGTAAAAGAGACGAAACGGAAAGTAAAGAATGTCACATGGTACTTATACCGCATACCGGTCTGGTATACACGAGACCGAGCGGGCATGTCAGGGCGTAGGTATCATTCTTTCAGAAATAATGGGTCAATGTGTGAAAGAGTATGAATGTGTAAGCTCGACACTGCTATGGATACGATTGAAAGTATCCTTAAAGAAGTTGTTTGTGCTAGGAGTCTACGCTCCAGACATGTCTAAGTCCACTTATATCCGAGGGCAGTTTTGGGAGATGGTAAGGATGCTGTTGATGAAGTGTAAGGGAAATGAACATACTGTTATGTTAGCAGATTTTAATGGAAGGATTGAAGTGAAGAGGTTTGGTTATGAAAGGATATTGAGAACGTTTGGTGGTGGAAATATAAATAGGAATGGTGAAAGCCTCTTCGCCGTACGTGTGGAAAAGAATCTTTTTGTAACGAACACCTTTTTCGTCATATGAAGATTCACAGGTATACTTGGGAAAGAGGTTTTGATAGAATCATGATAGATTTCATAATTGTAGATAAAATATTGCGGAGCGCAAGCGAAGCAAGCGAAGCAGCTACCGAAGTATGTGATGTTAGTAAGAGAACTAATGAAAGAAAAATCTAAAATACATTATGGTGGGATGATGAGGTCCGTATGTAAGTTGAAGGAAAGAAAAGACCATGGGTAGATTTAGTAGCTACAAATGTTTGGTAATTCTGGCGGTACAATTTATGATATTGAAAGAAAATAGGTAGTCTTCAAACATCTAAATACAACAATCTAATAGAGTAAAAGAAGTGGTTGAAAGGAAAAAGCAAGAAAAAACGGTCAAAAATGATAGAAGTATATCAGATAACTTCCAGGAAAATATTAAAATGTTCTGAAAACCGGTAAGAACTGCCATGGGACATTCAAAACAGCCTACAATTAATGCTATAAGAGACGAGAACGGATGTATTCTAAGTGACGAAATTTCGAGTTTAAAGAGATAGAAGGAATATTTTGAAAGCGTCTTTATGAGTGAGGAGATGACATGTGAACTAAATAAAATAGAAATTCCGAAAGAAAAGAAAAAATTATAACAGGCATTAGAGTCTCTTTATAAAACTCTAGTGCTTGTGTTAGGATCAACGGGGTATATTCAGACTGGTTTGGCATCAATAAAGGTATTAGACAGCGCTGTGTGGTTTCCCCGTGGCCGTTCAACCTATTTATGAACGGATATTTGGAAAATTTGAAAGCTAATGAATGCGGATTAATAATGGGTGAGTTAAGCATCAAATACCTTTTGTACGCCGATGATCAATTTATTTTTGCATCGTCGGCAGCTGAGTTGCAAGTGATGGTTACATTAATGAACAGGTATTTAAAAGAAAGGGGTATGAAAGTGAACGTAAGTAAGACGAAAGTTATGATTTTTGAAAGAGAAGAAAGTAAAATATTATGAAATGAAAATGAAAAATGTTTTATTATCAGAAAAATATGTACAATATGTAATATCTGTTGGTTTCCTCACTAGGAAAGCCAGTATCGAGGAAACCTGAGAATAAAGTTCACTAGGCATTATTTTATACGCCTTATCAGACAATTTGTCATGATATATCTACACAAAACAGCAATAAAAGAACTGCTTAATGCTCAAAATCTAAAAACATAAAAAAGAAAGAAACCTTTAACCTAGAAAATATGTGAAATAAGAATAGAAGGGGAGTTGATCGATCAAGTAGATATGTTTGTTTATTTGGGATGTGTGTTCAGCAGGGATGGGTGATATAATAAGGACATAGAACGACGTTGAATGCAGGAAATAAAGTAAATGGGGCTCTACACTCTATTTCGAAAAGACAGAGTGTGTCAAAAGGCACGTATGGCAATCCACAATGCTGTGTTAGTCTCTACTTTAACGTATGGTAGTGAAAGTTGGGTGTGGCAGAAGAAGCATGAGAGTAGAATAAATGTAGTAGAAATGCGGTCGCTAGGGAGTATGCTAGTATTAATAATTTGTGCGATAAAGGAAAAGTGCGGTTTGCAAGATGATGTTGTGACCAGGATTAAGAAATTTGCTGTGTTGGTTTGGTCATGTAGAAAGAATGAATGAGGAAAGACTGACAAGCAAATATATGATGCAAAATTTTATAGAAAAGTCGGAAAGGGACGTCCTGGGCAAAAGTTTATCGACTAATTTAGCAATATATTGAAAATGGGCCAAATCAGGAGAACCCTTAACCGATAAGCAGGTATACGTAGGTATATGAATGTGGATGAGGCGAGAGAGGTGTGTCAAGATCATGCCAAATGGGAGTCTGTAGTCTCAACAGGCGTGAGTGTCTATGTATGTATGTATTTATAAAATAGTATGTTCCACAACCATACTTCTATTATCTTTATTAATATTATAGAGACTGCTAATTATTTAAGTTTGTGTATGTGTGGAGGGTAATTGAACCAATGCAACTATTTTGCACCTATTTAAAAATTCTTTCACCATTTGAAATATCCATTATTTCAGATGGACATAGGCTGTTTAATCAGTAAAAAGTAAGTACATATATAAATTGTGACCGAATGTTGTGAAGATATTTATCATCTAAGTCCGAAAATAATGTATGGCCGAATATTCCTCCTGAAAAGTTCTAAAAAAGTCCGCGACAGAATGACAGAAAATCATGTCTATCTTCTAAGGTTTGTTTGAATATTTTTATGTTTGTAGTTCAGTCACGTTAAAATTACTGAACGGATTTTGATGATACCTGGCAAAATATATAGAAAGAAAACTAAAATAGGACATTGAGTATTTTTTTTGCAAAGAAGTTAAGGTAATTTACAGGTTTTTTTATCCATAGTATAAAAAATCCCCACTAAAGTTAAAATTTTTGACATGCTCTGCGTTATATATAATAAATTTAATTATAAAATGCCTTATAAACTGAGCTTCTTATCAATATCTCTAAAACAGTCGCCAATATACATAGTTAAAAGTAACCTTGGGTCACAGAAATAACTTTTATCATCAGTTGATTTTCTCACTCAAATATTAAAACGAAAGGTTTCTGGCGTCTACTTATAAAAACCTTACCCTTCTTAGCCTCCATTAGAAGATGAATCATGTCAGGTCTGACAACTTGTTTAGCTTCACGTTCGTTCATTGTATTCATTACCAAGTTCCAGAAAAAATCTCTCGCCGATTTTTCAAACACTGAGAGACGTAGGATCTATAAACGAAACAAGTAAAATGGAAATCAACGATGATTTTTTTAAGTTATTTACTGAAAGCCATTTTACGTCCTACTGCATCTTACGCCAAGCAGTAGTACGTAAGATAGCATAGGTTTTCCCTTATTTCTGAGATGGTTTTACTGAGAGGAAGTGTCTACCGCGCTGTCCTAATGCATTTTTGCGGATATTTTTCATTATCTAATCATGATTTTTTTTTGCAGGAAATTTTCACGTTGTAATTTTTTCTTTTATCCGATTTTTATTATTAATCTATTCATTATTATTTCGAGAATTTCGACGACTTGCAGGTACGCTGCCGGCGCTTTAAAACGGAGTAAGCTCGTTTGTTGAAGGTCTCTTGGTTGTATTGGTCCAGCAAATTCGACGGTGCGAAAGGTTCCTAATAGAAGTCGTGCGAAGAAGAAAATAAATTACGCAGTTGGGGACCGCCAAAAATCTAGACGGTGTAGATGGTATCGAAATTTAAATATCTTCGCATTTTTGACTATCATAGAATTTAAAATGTCGTTTCGAATTAATAGCATAAAATCTATCGCAGTGAAGTTGAAAGTATAGACATATTCCTACCAAAATACCGTATACGAGTATAAAGATATCACAGAGACTTAGCGTAACAAACGATCACGCAGTCCACCTGATTGAAAGTTGATGCTGTGCCCCACTGTTATCCACATCTATTCTCAATTAAGAATCAAAATGCAGATGCATTTTCACTTTAATCTTCACACACCATACGACACACAGCAGCGTGAAGCTACTATTTTACGCTGGTATTTTGGGAAAGCTTATTCTCCAGTCAAGTCGACGCGTTTATGCTACAACGATAATAATGTCCTCCAGACTGAATTTCGATTACGACAGCCTGCCTTAACGAAGACTAACCATCGGTGCAGGACAGGATTATAGTTCTATTCTCTCACTCTCATAATCCGATGAGACCCTCAAACAACACGAGCGGAGAGAAATCAGGCGCAGGACCAACAGCTTTACATGCTTTTCAAGGCACGGGGCGAGACACTGCCAATTTCCTGACTCCGGGCAGCTACTGAGAATTTCTTGGCAGAAAAACTCAATAATTGATTTTTTAGCTCGACCTGGGAATCGAACACAGGACTTTATGGTCAGCAGTCGCACTACTAAAACCACTAGATCAACGAGGCGGTCAAACTCACACACAACTACAACATAGCTATAATATAGCTTCGTATCATTATAGCAATTCAAAAATACCAATTTACTAGTTGTTACTTTTTGCAACAATTAAAACTCACCGAAGACACAGTAGGAAAAGTCATCAATGCGAAAACTTTTAGCAACTGCTTGAAATTGAAGGTTGCAGCCATTTTGCCCATCTTGTAGAATATATTGCTTTTGTCACTATATGAGTCTACTTTCAGTCCAAAGGCACAGGAAGCAATTACATCGTTAGCATATCTCGTCGTCAGATCCTTACCATCTACATCAATATATTTACCTTTGAAATAAAAAAAATATTAGATTTTACGAAAAACAACAACCTCATTGCAAGTTTTAACCAAAGTGAAGCTGACAACTTCGTTTACCTTTAAAATCATTAGAATTAATTAAGATTATATTATAATACTAGGGTGTAGGTTTAAGGAATTTCTTAGTGCTGCAATGATAATGTAAACGTTATTCCCCTGTCGCCCCTTACGACATTTATGGGTCGATATGGGGTTGTGGATATTCTTACACAACCACTGCACGATCAATTAAAAATTAAACTTCTTCTAAAAATGTCAACTTATTATACAGGAATAGAACTTTTTGTGTGTGCTATCGTCTTTAGTGAAATTTGGTTACCTCTATATTCAAAGACATATGTTGTCTAGTCAAACAGTTACCATGTTAAATTCCTTTTCCACTAGATTGCTAAGTACAGCCCAACTGTTACTGTGAAAAAGAAGTTTAGTGTATCCGCAAGCATCATAAGATTACAACCGCTAATATTCAACCTATACAGATCATCAATGTAAACAAGAAAAAGAGTCAGCCTAAATATATTTCTTTGCGAAACACCGCAACTACATGAACTTTCATTACTAAGATGTCCATTCACCCTCACTCTTTGTTCTCTGTCAGTCAAAGAGTTTTCAAACCATTGATATGTAATGCCTCTAATGTCAAGTTTTTCCAAACGATTTAACAGTATGGGAATAGATACACCGTCAAAGGCTTTTTGTAAGTCCACCAATACTTCCAAACATTTTATCCCAATCAAGATAAGAAGTTATTAAAGAAGGTAGCTTTAATACAACATTATCTGTATATTTGCTATTGGATAAAATTTTATAATTAATTCTAGGCTGTATGCTAAAAACTTTTACTGTCCACTGTGTGAACAATATAATAAAAAACTTTCACATTAAATTGAAACCAATTGAAACTAAAAGAAATTATTATACAAAATTCAATAGCTTATGGGCCCAGGTCCACGTTAATTAACAGTTGGTGATAAACAAAGAGCAGAGAAAACAAAAGTGCTTAGTAATTTTTCAACAGTAGAACCACGTGCTGTCTTTAACCTAAAATGGAGTTTGGAAAGACAAACCTAGAAAAATTCGATGGAACGAATTTTAAACAGTAGAAATTTCAAATTAAATGTGCCCTGCGTGCCAAGGGGTTAGATATCAACACACCAAGACCAGTTGGAAATGCAACTCAATGGAATAAAGATGACGGTATGGCGATGTTTGTATTGACGTCTGCTATGGACTTAAATCAAATAGCACTCATCGAAAATGGGTGATGTTGTATACAGTGATGTTTGTGGACCATTCAGTGTACCTTCTGTACAATGTATGAAATATTTTGTTATTTTTAAAGACGCTGCTACAAGTTTTAGATATGTGTATTTTTTAAAGAATAAATCTGACGTGTTAAACTGTTTTAAGAAATATAATTCAATGATTAAAAACAAGTTCTCACATAGTGTATGGTGGAGCCACGTGTTTAAGGCTGCCGAAAATCTAGTTCCCCGGTCAAACCTCAAACCTATTACGTGAGATATTAACTAAAGTGGACTGTATTTGCGTTTGCTTCTACGCTTACGTAAAAGCGACTACTATAGCATGCGGTACAATGCACTCGCTCTTCCCTAAACTAAACTATTACTTGCCAAATCGATGAAAGGAATCCTGCCTGATGAGGAGAACACAGAATTGGAACGGTTGAAACAATTATTAAATATTAATCAGGCAGTAAATTAAGGAATATTGACTCACCGGGGTTTCTTCTATCCTGTCGATCACTATAGCGACTTCTGGAACACTCCGGAGAGAGGCGGTGCGCGACGATATTTCGCACGAGGTGAGGCGGGTTCCTGGAGCTCGACTGCTTCCAGGCCAAAGCGGTTTCCACTAGTGAGGTGTTTCCAAACGAGCGCGCGGGAAGAGAGAAGAGCGCGCGTCGGTCGCGCGTGTCTTATATATCCTCGGGTCCGATGATTACGCGATGTTCTAGAATCGTCTTCTTTCCCCTCCCACCCCATCACCGCGATGTGTCGATAGGAGGGTACGAATGATATCGTTTTGGAAAGGGATAATGATTCGGCAAGTTCCTACCGTCAAAAATAAAAACGCGAATGGTTTTCCGCGCAACCAGTGTACGCATACTGCACACTGACAATGGTGGAGAGTACATAAGCAAAGACTTTAAAGAATATCTTGACTGTGAGGATATTTCTCATGAGATCACTGCCCCTTACAGGTCTGAACAAAATGGCCGGGCAGAACGAGAAATAAGGATAATTGTTGAAAATGCTCGATCCATGCTTTATGCCCGTAAGGTACCACTCAATCTTTGGGCAGAAGCAGTAAATTGTGCTGTTTATTTGTTGAATCGCACGTATTCAAGCCAGACACCAAATATTACCCCTATGGAGTTGTAGAGTGGTGTTAAACCTAGTCTAGATCATGTCAGAGTGTTTGGATGCGAAGGATATGTCCATGTGTCAGATCAGTTGAGAAAAAAGCTGGATAGTAAAAGTTGTAAAACGATATTAGTTAGATATGATGGTTCATATTACAAAATGTACAATCCAATCACAAAAAATACAACATCGAGGAATGTTATTTTCAATGAACAGAAAAGTCCTGAAACAAAACGGAGTGAAGCTCAAATTTATACATGGGAAGACAATGACCAAAATGCTGAAGAGGAGATAGATAACACTGAGTTGACAGAGAGTGATGACAGCACACATACTGCCATTGATGAAAACGATGAGACCTATGAACCTTCGCAAGAATTGGACCTTACAGATATGGTTCGTTCATATATTAATTTACGACCACGTAGAAATAATGTTCTTTTAATGGAATTGGATGTACCTGTGAGCTACAATGAAGCAATCAATGGTAAAGAGAGTGAGTTGTGGCTAAAGGCAATAAATGAAAAATTAGCTCATCGTAAAAATAACACCTGGAATTTTGTGGATAATGAAAACCAGAGAACTATAACGTCCAAATGGGTTTTTAATACTAAAAGAACCAAAGGCGGTAAAGTGGAAAGATATAAAGCTCGACTTTGTGCCCGTGGTTTCACAAAAATTGAGGGGATAGATTATAATGAAATCTTTTCACCTACTACAAGATATGAATCAATAAGAATACTGTTATCTATCTCTGCTAAATATAATTAGAACCTAAGACAATTAGATGTATAGGCAGCTTTTTTATATGGAGAGTTAGAAGAGGATATTTATATAGTAATTCCAGATGGAGTGAAAGCACCAGAAAATAAAGTATGTAAATTGAATAAATCCTTATATGGCCTAAAACAGGCATCTCGTTGCTGGAATCAAAAGTTTACTAATTTTTTATTAAAGTTTGGTTTTGTTCAGTCACAAGCCGATAATTGTGTATTTGTTTGTAACTTTAATGACATTAAAGCTTTGTTAATACTAAATGTAGATGATGCTCTAATAATGTCACAATCAAATTCAATATTAGATCAAATTATTAGTTATTTAAAGCAGGAATTCAATATCAAAGAGTTAATTCTAAGTTGTTTTGTTGGTTTAGAAATTTTGAAAGATGATAATTCTGTTTGTATCAGTCAAAGACAATATCATCATCATCATCATCATCATTACAGACCTTCACAAGTCCACTGCTGAACATAGGCCTCCCCCAAGTAATGCTACAAAGCACGGTCCTGAGCCACCTGCATCCATCGACTTCCTGCATGTCTTACCAGGTCGTCACTCCATCTAGTGGGGGGTCGCCCTACACTACGCCTACCGGTACGAGGCTGCCACTCGAGAACCTTTCTTCCCCATCGGTTATCGGTTCTTCGAGATATATGGCCGGCCCATTGCCACTTCAGCTTACTAATCCGTGGGGCTATGTCGATCACTCTGGTTTTACTGCGGATATCCTAATTTCTGAGTCTATCACGCAGTGAAACTCCGAGCATAGCCCTCTCCATAGCTCGCTGAGTGACCTTGAGCGTCCTCATACGGCCAGCGGTGAAGGACCACGTCTCAGATCCGTAAGTCATCACTGGCAACACGCATTGGTTGTACACTTTAGTTTTCAGAGATTGAGGTATACCTGACGAGAAGATGTGTCGTAATTTCCCGAACGCTGCCCAGCCGAGTTGAATCCATCGATTGACCTCTCGGTCGAAGTTGGACTTACCTAGTCGGACTATTTGTCCCAGGTAAACGTACTCGTCAACAACTTCGAGCATAGTGCTCCCAACAATAACCGGCATAGGTGTGACATGGACATTAAACATGATCTTTGTTTTGTCCATGTTCATCTTAAGACCTATCCGTTGGGAGACACCATTGAGGTCATTGAGCATAGTGCTAAGGTCCTCCAGCGATTCTGCCATAAGGTAATAACTGCCATAAATAACGATATCGTCGACAAATCGAAGGTGAGTGATGTACTCGCCATTGATTTTAATACCGTATCCTTTCCAGTCCAGTAGCTTGAAAACGTCTTCCAACGCAGCGGTGAAGAGTTTCGGGGATATAACATCACCCTGTCTTACACCTCTCTGCAGTTGGATAGGTTTCGTACTCTGGTTCTTTACTCGGATAGCCATTGTAGCCCTACTGTACAAACACTTCAGCACTTCAATATACCGACAGTCAACTAGGCACTGCTGAAGAGACTGTAGCACCGCCCAAATTTCGACGGAATCAAAGGCTTTCTCATAGTCCATATACGCCGGGCAAAGTGGCAGATTGTACTCTTTGGACTTCTGTACAATTTGTTGAAGGGTATGTATGTGGTCTATGGTACTGAAGCCTTTTCGCAAACCGGCTTGTTCGGGAGGCTAGAAGTCGTTGAGTCTGCGTGCGAGACGATTCGTAATGACTCTAGGAAACAGCACGTAGACGCGGCTCAGAAGGGAAATCGGTCTGTAGTTCTTCAAGAGAGCGTTGTCGCCTTTCTTAAAGAACAAGACCACCGCGCTTCTGCTCCACGCCTCCGGAGT